GACCTGGTTTAGACCTGGTTTAGTCCTGGTTTAGACCTGGTTTATTCCTGGTTTAGACCTGGTTTAGTCCTGGTTTAGACCTGGTTTAGTCCTGGTTTAGACCTGGTTTATGTTAGTGGTTTAGTCTTTTAGACCTGGTTTAGACCAGCGTCTCGTCTTTTCAAACTCAAACTTGACGATATAAAACTTGACGTGAGTTTGTCAAACAGAAGCTCAGACTTTTCCTGAGTCTTTGTTTGTTCAGATGTTCAGTTCAACGTCGGTCACTTTTTCACCAGAATAAAAATAACATTTCAAACTGGTTTTATTCAAATGAGACAAACACGGAACCTACGAAACTCCAACTGTAGATCACATTTACATTTACATTTACATTTACATTTACATTTATATTAATATTTACATTTACATTTACATTTACATTTACATTTCCATTGTCCTGCTTTAGACCTGGTTTTAGTCCTGGTTTTACTCCGGGTTTAGTCCTGGTTTAGTCCTGGTTTAGACCTGGTTTAGTTCTGGTTTTCTGGTTTAGTTCTGGTTTAGTTCTGGTTTTAGACCTGGGTTTAGTCCTGGTTTTAGACCTGGGTTTAGTCCTGGTTTTAGATCTGGTTTAGTCCTGGTTTAGTCCTGGTTTAGACCTGGGTTTAGTCCTGGGTTTAGTCCTGGTTTAGTCCTGTTTTAGTTCTGGTTTAGTCCTGGTTTAGACCTGGTTTAGTCCTGGTTTAGTCCTGGTTTTAGTCCTGGTTTAGACCTGGTTTTAGTCCTGGTTTAGTCCTGGTTTAGTCCTGGTTTACCTGGTTTAGACCTGGTTTAGTTTCTAGCAAAGAGTGGAATTACTGAATAAAAGAAAAAAAAAGAAAAAGGGATTTAGCTCCAAATGTGAAAACAGTTAAATCCCTCTGTGTAATCCATTTATTTCAACAAAGTAACTGTAATCCAATTACCACTCACTGAAACAGTAACTGTAACTGAATACAGTTACTCATACTGGTAAATGGTCACATTTTTCCACTTTCAAGGCTCAAAACACTTTACAACAAGGAACCACACACCCATTCACACACCAGTGCACACAGACACTGTGGGCAGGTGGGTTAAGTGTCTTGCCCAAGGACACAACGACAACATTCATCTGTGGGAGCTGGAATCACACCAGCAACCTTCAGATCAGTGGGCGAATGCTCCACCAACTGAACTACTACCACCCAATTTGTACTCTGACTTGTACTCTGACTCTGACTCTGTACTCTGACTTGTACTCTGACTACTCTGACTCTGACTACTGACTGACTTGACTACTCTGACCTGTACTCTGACTCTGTACTCTGTACTCTGACTACTCTGACTGTACTCTCTCTGACTGTACTCTGACTTGTACTCTGACTGTACTGTCTGACTGTACTCTGACTTGTACTCTGACCTGTACTCTGACTTGTACTCTGACCTGTACTCTGACTACTCTGACTCGTACTCTGACTGTACTCTGACTTGTACTCTGACTTGTACTCTGACTGTACTCTGACCTGTACTCTGACCTGTACTCTGACTTGTACTCTGACTTGTACTCTGACTTGTACTCTGACTTGTACTCTGACTTGTACTCTGACCTGTACTCTGACCTGTACTCTGACCTGTACTCTGACTTGTACTCTGACTTGTACTCTGACTTGTACTCTGTAATGTAGCCAGTCCATTACTTTTAAAGTTAAAAGGTAAAATGAGGAACTGAAACAAAGTTTTAGAAATGTTTATTGAAAATGTTTGTGCAGATTGAAGTTACCTGTAAAAGAAAAGGAAATAAGTAAAAGTAAAAGTGCATTTAAATCTAAGTAATGGTGTTAAAGTAATTGTACTTTACCCTCTGGTGTGGTCTGCCTCAGGTGCTCCGGCCAAAAGAGTCCCCGGGGAGCCAGAGCACCTTAAGAAGGTTCCGGAGCAGCCAACCATGTTGTTTGGAGGAGGGGAGCACAAATTTTTAACTGGTTCTATTTAGTATTTTAAAACATTGAACACTGCTAATTTAAATAAAGATATATATATATTTTGGTAATTGATGTAATTGGATGTTGTTTGGGCACTGTTTTGATAGTTGGTTTTTAGATATTAAATGTACAAATTATTGGTGCTTACCTGATCGTTGAAGTGGGCTCACCCAATTAGGACAGAGCCTTTAAAAGAAGCCAGCCTCACCTTGTTCAGGGGGAGGTGCTGTGTGAGCGCAGGGAACTGCTGTGCCTGTTTTTAACCTTTTTTTTTTTTTTTTTTTGGAGCTTTTGTAAATAGTTTTTTTGTCTTGTCGGGAATAAATGCACTGGGATCTGCACTGTAAACTGGCTCAACTTGACTCTGTTCCTTCTAAAACCGCTAAGGTTACCACCAGGCTGTTACATACTCTGATTACATATGTAATCTGTTACTCCCTAACACTGTTGACGACAGCAAAAGTCTCAAATTTTGTGCATGAAAAAATGAAAAAAATTGATTATTTCTATATTTTTCAGATCATTTTAATCTGTTTGTGTTGGGGATTTCATAAAATTGTGTCAACACAGATTTTGAGATTTTTAAAAGTTTTTGCACAAACTCAAATCCTCCTCATTTGTGACAAAAATGTTCACCGGAAAAGAACATGATACTTTTTTATTTAATGCAATAGAGACTTTTATTCAACTTTTTTATATCATTGTCTTCATTTACTTTACTTTATTTCTAATCACACAAATCAAATAATATATCATATGTTGAAAATATAACCCATTAAATCCCATTTTTCTATGTGAAAGTCTCAAATGATGTGCATGACATCGAAAAAATTCAAAAAGACAATAAAAGAAAAAAATTTGAAGGGTTTGCAACACCAAAGATTGAAAAATAAATCAAAAAGTAAAAATACACTGGCAAAATTCTGCAGGTAAAAAAGGCACTTTGAATGGAAGTCAATGGGACAAACTTGTACCGAAGGACCATGGGTGTGATTATTTTGATTATAGACCATTCAATTAACACAAAAATAAAAAATACACCACAAAATATCTGCAACACGGCCAGAAATTATGCAAAAAACGAAAAGTTGAGATGTAGAAAAACGTACCGAGGAGTGCAGGAGGGTTAAATGTTATGTGTTACAGGTAAAACCCCAGAGAAATGTAAAAGTTCTTCTTTAAAATGATTTGTTGACACTGAAAAACAAATGGAAGACTCATTTTTCACAGGTATCGATACTAAAAAAGTCCCACTGACAAAACAAAAATGAACCTTTACTCCAAAAAACTCCGACAAATGAAGTGAAATTCGACATTTAAGGCAAATTTTCAGTCATATTTTCTTTACTCAAACACGAAATAAGATCCAAAATACAAAAATAACTTGTCAACAAAAAGAAGCACGACATTTCAATTTCTGTTTTGAATGTCCAAAAATATCAAAAATAATCAAAAGTAACACAGAGATCTAAATGTTAAACCCCAGAGAAATGTAAAAGTCTTTAAAGTGATTTGTTGTGACTGAAAAGCAAAATGGTTTAAAAAAAAAATAAACGTGAAACGGTGATCAGCGCCGCCCACAGTTTGTTTAATGAGATTGGAGAATAACGACGATGACGAGCGGGTTTAATTTGGTCAGAAGAGTTTGAGACGTTGTAAAGTGTCTGTCCAGTTTCACGGCGAACTGCAGGGGGCGACACTCAAAACAGTTCAGTCAAAACTAAAGAGACGACACAACTTTTTCACAACGACCGGAAGTGTTTGTGGATAAAATATTTAGTCGTTTTTACCCGCAGGTGTTGTCATGTAAACAGACACTAATTCAGAAATCCCTGGTCGAGCTGCGTGTAAGAAGGTGAGAGCTTCAGGTTGGAGACTCCTGATCTGTGCAAATATCCACATCATGAAATTGATTTTTAATTTGAATTCCAGTATCAGTCTGAGTGAACAAGTTTCTTCTGTTTTATTCATGACTATAACATTAGTTTTGTTCAGTAGTTCACTTATGCCGGACGTAAACTGTACGATATTTTCAATGGTTTTATGTGAAAAATCCCTCAGTCGTCCAAACAGAATCCAGGGCAAAGGAGAAAAATCAGTTTGTCCAAGCTGATTCTTCAAGAAGCAGCTTGGACAAACTGATTTTTCTCCTTCCGATGGTTCGATGGTTTTACTCCACCTCCACTCAAACCGTACGACCAAATCACAGAGTTTAAAAGTTCACAGCTCAAGATTCATGTTCTGACACTGAACAAAAACGACTTCAACAGAGACAAACCCTCACGAGAGACGACTGGATTCAAACAGGTTTGATTTCCCTGCGACATACGATTTCCGATCAGGAGCTGCTCGTGAGGGATCAATCGGTTCTGGTTATCCCACGTTTACTCCACGAAGCACGACGCACGGTTAAGACAAAAGTCGATCCAATCCCAACGACTGAAAAAAAAATCGGCTCAAAAAGGGCCAAAAATCGCACAGTGTTCGTCCAATGAGGTTCGTTTGGTTTTCCGATATTTTTTGTTATTAGGTTCTTTTTTCAGACCAAGAGTTTGTAGTGAGAAGTCGAAACTGTCAGATATGAAAACAAACTCTTGGTCTGAAAAAAGAACCTAATAACAAAAATCGCACAGTGTTCGCTCGGATTAATGTGGCTCGTTGTTTCCTTTAAGTTTTGTTCTTTCTTCTCTTGATATTTGTGGATAAATTGTTCATGAAGAATGTTTCTCCTTTGTGGAGTTTGTTGGTTAAAGATTTGGTGACACATTTACACACACATTTTGACACAGAAAACCATTAATCACACTTCCGGCTGTTGTGAAAAAAGTTCTATCTGATCTGTTCATGTCACATACACCGTCCCCACCCTGAGCCTGACCCCCGCCCCACAGCCCGAGGGCCAAACTCTTCTGCACAAAGAGCTCAGTCTGGAATCTCTCCCACTCAACTCCATTTCAGGTGAAGACAAAACTGAATTTTGTATTTGTTTCTATTCATGTTTTAATCATTTTTAGCTTTTTATTTAATGTCTTTTATTGTGTTAATTTGTTTGTGCAGCACTTTGGAAACTGTCGTGTTTATAAAATATAAATCAGAAATAAAGTTAATTGGATTTTTTCCATTTTGTATAATTGTGTTTGTTTTTTTTTTCTTGCCTTATGTATATTGTTTATATTCTATGTGTAATTCTGGAGTTGTGTTTTGTTTAAGTAACTCTTTATTATTATTATGAGTCTGTTTACATTTCCAAAGCTTCTAAACGCTCTGTTCCACCTTGTGATGTCATGAAGTCGGTAATTTTCAAGTTCACAGCTCCTTTTACCTTCAGTTTTAGTTTAGAAATCATCCAAATAATTCTAGTGAAGGCGTGTGGAGTCAGTTTGAGAGAAGAACTCAGCGTAAATCTGCAGAGTTTGTGCTTTAAAGAAACAAAAAAACACAACTCCAGGTCTGTTCGCGACGAGGAAACGACATCCGAACGTCAGAAAATCGATTAAACTGAAAAGAAGTGGAGCTTTTTAACGCGGCAGAACATCGGTTCGACTCAGATCTTCGCCGATAACTCTCTAAGTATCTCTGAGTATCTCTAAGTGCCGATTTATCTCTTGGCCCCGACTCAAATCTAAATGGGAGAGATACCAGACGAGCGCTCAAGTGTCTGCGGGTCTCGGAACGATGAAAAAACAAGGACCGTTGCCGTAGCGATTAACAACTCAAAGGCCCTGTACCCGATGTTTTTGATGTTTGTACTCGAGCGACGTTCATGATTTGTCTTATGAGCAGCTCTACAGGTCAAAATAAATCTGTCAGCGTCGAATTCCAAACCGTTTTACTGTAAGAACGTCAGCGGTCGGTCTCTGAAAGGTGAGAAAAGTGCTTCTAAACTCATCGCGGTGAGTAAATCGGACGCTTTTGGAGCTCTGCAAATCGTTCTTGACCGTTTCAGTTAAGAACGAAAAACAATAAAATGGGAAAACAGTTTGTCATTTCGTTTTTTTTTGTCAAACAAAAAACAGATTTCGACCTCTGTTTCCAATATTTAATTAAAGTTTATTTCAGATGAGGCCAGTCCAAAAACTCGGTGCCTATTTCGATTTTGATTTGATTTTAAAATAGGCACGAAGAAGTTCTATGTATATATCTTTTTTAATGAAATAATTTGATTCTTTTACAGTAATTTTCGCACAAGCAAAACTAAAGACGCACAAGAGGCACGAGTAGCAACATAAATATACAGAAAAGATGGAATTACATTGGAAAAAAACCAAAAAAGGAGTTTTCCGTCAGTTTCAGTCGATCAGTCCTCAAAAGTTGCACAGAAAATTTTTGTTTCACACATTTCAGAGAAGAAAATAACATAGTTCTTTATGAAAAAAGCATTGAAGTTTGGTCGACTCTTGAAGAATCTGTTTTTATGTACAAATTTTTTTCCCTAAAATGGTTAAATGCTTCTGATAATTATTTACAATGAAGCCACACATAACATTTTTTAATTTAATATTTGGACCTGACATTTGTTTTCAAAAACCAATGATGTAAATCAGGCATGTCCAAACTATGGCCCGTGGGCCAAATGCGGCCCTCAGGCAAATTTTTCTTGGCCCTCAGGCTTCCAGGTGAATTGGCCCAAATGACCTTTCATCAATTAAAAATGAACTTTTTACTGCAAGTTTTTTGAAATTCCACCTTGATAAAGTGAATATTGAATATTTAGTGTGTGATTTTAAGGAAATTAGCATAAATAAAGGACGGGTGCATCATTCTAACGTGTTAAACCTGCACATATTTCAATTATTCACCATATTAAGCATCAGTCTCGATCAGCCTCTGCTTCATCTGTGTTTAGATATGTGGCCCTTGACGAAAAAAGTTTGGACACACCTGATGTAAATCCTCCCAAAATGCACGATTCTACACACAAGTAAAGAATCTGTGACCTGGAGTTTCACTGCACAAAGAACAATTAATAACCTCAAATCCAAAACGTTTCCAGAGAAAGTGAGCAGAGCAAATGAATCTCTTTTGGTGCAATTTGGAATTTTAAATGTTTAGATCTTAATTTCTTCACAATAAAGGAGCTAAAAAATTGAGAATTGGATTTCGAGACATTACAAATAGAAATAATTGTTGTTTAAAAACGCACAGAATTACACTTTACATTTTTAAGCTTAGAATTAAGTCGATTGTGACCGTCCACCGGAAGCAACGGGAGGATCTAAAATCAAAAATATATTTTTATTCTAGTTCTGTGGAGTCGACTGAACAAAGAAGAGTTTATTGCTGCTTCCTGTTTCTGGTCATGAAGTTCAACAATGACTTTCTAAAATGCAAAAGTAAATGCATCGATATAAAAGACGACGACAAGTTTGTCCACGAAACTGCAACGATTTTTCAGGTTCGTCCTTCAGCAGCAGAACTTCAAATAAACCAGAGAGAATCAAATATCAACATTGAAATAGGCACAGACTGTTTTTTGATTTGTGTTATTTGAAATAAACTTTAAATGAAAAGGAAATAGAGGTCGAAATCTGTTTATTTTTGTTTGACACTAAAATGGAAAAATGAAATAACAAACTGTTTTCCCATTTTAATTGAAATTCAGAAGAGTGAATGGTACACGGACGTTCTGTTTTCCATATTTTTAAGACAGCAAAAATCTGGTGCAGCGTTTTTAAAGTAAAATATATGAACGATGATTTGTTCCATCAGATTTTGAGTTTTAAATACCACTGAATTTCTCACTTTGAATGTTTAAACTCTGAAAAAAGATGTTTGAATTATTTTTATTTTGAATTTTAGTGGCTGAAATTTGAAGTTTACTTTCAATTCAAAATAAAAAAATAAAAAAATCACCACAGATATTTTCAAGCCCTCAAATTCACCAGTCGCAATTCAGAACGTCAAATTCGCAGTGAAAAATTTCACAGCAAAGATCCAAGATGCCGAGGCAGAAGCATCGATCATGTGAGGAGGACAGAGGCGGTTTCTTATTGGCTGTTCTCATCGGTGGGCGGAGTTTAGCCTTAAGAAATCAAAGAGACGAGGTTTCGACGAGGCGAATTCAGACCAATCAGATCACATCACTGCAAGATTTCCTGTTTGTTACTAAGTTAGATTGAATCTTAGTTAGATCTTCACTGCAAATTTGTTGAATTTAAAGACTTGAAAATATTTGTGCCAAATATTTAAAAGGTGATTTTATTTTTTTTTATATTGAATTTTATACACTGTAAATGTACACTTAAAATTTCAGCAAACAAAAATTTATCCATCCATCCATCCATTTTCTTCCGCTTATCCGGGGTCGGGTCGCGGGGGCATCAGTCTAAGCAGGGACTCCCAGACTTCCTTCACCCCAGACACTTCCTCCAGCTCCTCCGGGGGAACCCCGAGGTGTTCCCAGGCCAGTCCAGAGACATAGTCCCTCCAGTGTGTCCTGGGTCTTCCCCGGGGCCTCCTCCCGGTGGGACATGAACACCTCCCGAGGGAGACGTCCAGGAGGCATGAGAACAGATGCCCGAGCCTCAACTGGCTCCTCTTGACGTGGAGGAGCAGCGGCTCTACTCCGAGCTCCTCCCGTGTGACTGAGCTCCTCACTCTGTCTCTAAGGGAGACGCCCAGACGCCCTGTGGAGGAAACTCATTTCGAGCGCTTGTATCCGCGATCTCGTCCTTTCGGTCACTACCCAGAGCTCATGACCAGAGGTGAGAGGAGGAACGAAGACTGACCGGTAAATCGAGAGCTTCGCCTTTCGACTCAGCTCCTCTTCACCACAACGACCGATACAGCGACCGCATCACTGCAGACGCTGCACCGATCCACCTGTCAATCTCACGCTCCATCCTCCCCTCACTCATGAACAAGACCCCGAGATACTTGAACTCCTCCACTTGAGGCAAAGACTCCCCACCCACCTGAAGAGGGCAAGACGCCTTTTTCCAGTCGAGAACCATGACCTCAGACTTAGAAGAGCTGATCTTCATCCCAGCCGCTTCACACTCGGCTGCAAACCGCCCCAGTGCTGCAGGTCCTGGTTTGATGAAGCCAACAGAACAACATCATCTGCAAACAACAGAGATGATCCTGTGGTCCCCAAACCGGACCCCCTCCGCCCCTGACTGCGCCTAGAAAGTCTGTCCAAAACTTCATAATAAAAATAATTGAAACATGTTTTTTCAGAGTAAAAAATTTCAAAGTGAGAAATTCAACAGCATTTAAAATTCAAAATCTGATGAAACAAATTATTTTCTGTAAAAATATAACATGTTTTGAATGGCTTTTCGAAATGTTTGCATATAAAAAACAGCTGAAACCACAAATATTACACAATAATAAAGCTTTGAAAAGTCTCCTTTCCCCAGCAGCGTTTGCATCATTACACCTAAACTGTACATGCCACAAGCCCACACACACAAGCGCGGTACAGCCACGTTTATATCGTCTCCGGCGTCGTCCACGTTCAACACAGTCTACTCCGGGTGCACGCACACATACGCCCTCTTGTGTTTGCCGTAGTAATAGCACTCGGGCTGGAAGTTGTTGGTCTCCACCACCTCCTTGTAGTGGCTGACGGCGTGGACCAGGCAGTTGGGGAAGGTCTTGTTCAGACACAGAGCCACGCGCATCATGTTCCCTTTGAGCTTCTGGTTCTCGATCTGCTCGGCGATCTGACCCTTGTCTATGGGCTTGGGGTCCACGCAGAAGGACACCACCACCTTCACGTTGGTCTTGGTGAGGAAGTCGAACCAGTTGGCGCCGCCGCTGCCGTGGCACTTCTTGCCCGCCAGCCAGTTGAAGAAGAAGATGCGCTCGCGGTTGTTGAAGACGCGGATGGACCAGCGCACCCAGTCGTACTTCTTCACCAGAGACTCCAGGAGGCTCTTGGTGAACTCCATGTTGGCGGGGCCCGGGGTGTCCTGCAGGAAGAGGAGACACGTCAGAACATGGAAGACATGGTGGAGCAAGATCACGATGCGGAGTGCACAGTTTTAAATTTAAATGGTTTAAATGACTTGAACAGCAAAATAAAATAAACATCATGGAGTGAACAGCATGGAGATCACCAAGAGCCTCCTGGAGTCTCTGGTGAAGAAGACGAGACTCCAGGAGGCTCTTGGTGTCTCTGGTGAAGAAGACGATGCGCTCGCGGTTGTTGAAGACGCAGATTGGACCAGCGCACCCAGTCGTACTTCTTCACCAGAGACTCCAGGAGGCTCTTGGTACTTGGCACTTTACACAAAACTGTGAAAAAAGTGAAGGAAGATTTTTAAACCTGTTTTTTAAAGTTCCAAACTGGAGTTTCATTCTTTTGTGGTTTTGCAGTGATATTTACCAGCCTCTGCACGTTTACCAAACCAAACGCACATCGTGACAAACACAGATGCATTTGTCACTTTTGTTAGACAAACTTCAGCCAAATGTGGCAGTAGGTCTGTTCTGTAGATCCGCTCTATGCTGTAGACCTGCTTTGTGCCAACACTGGAACACAAATTTAGACTGGTTTTTGCTTCACGTTTGGTCTTGTTCTTCTAATCAGCCGCACTGTGGGAGGGGCTTGTGTTCGCTGTACGCAGGAAGGAGCGAGAGCGTGAAAAGGCGAGGGGCGGCGTGCTGACGTGAGGCAGGTGGACAGGTAGGATGTTTAGGAAGTTGAACCTGCCCTGTGATGCACGCTGGTACACGAGGGCACACGCTGTCGCAGACGAGCCGTGCGTAGGGAGCGTGTGTGTTTGTGATGCGCCGTAGAGTCTCCGCGGGTTTCAAATGAGCGCACAGGCTGCACTGAGACGCCCCACACGCTCCTGCACCCGCTACAAGTTTATTACCAACAGCAGCGGCCGGAATGAAATATGATCACACTTGTTGAGTGTCAGACCTCGAGTGAGAGACAAGACCGAGTCCAAACACGAGTCCGAGACGAGACACGGCGATCTACCCACACGACCTTGGCGATCGACTGGTAGATCGAGATCAACGTATTGAGCACACCTGGTTTAGACTGACCCTGCGTTCGATTTTCTTCCGACTCCCACTTGGATCTCGGATGTCACGTCCAAGTTTGAAGTGTATTATTCTGTTTGTCGCGTCACATATGTGGACACCTGGTCAATCAAGTATTTGTTCAATACTGGCCTCACCACAACACGACTCCCAAACCCACAGACAGAGATACAGACGCAGTAAAGCACTGCAGTAATGGTAAAGTACTGCAGTAATGGTAAAGTACTGCAGTAATGGTAAAGTACTGCAGTAATGGTAAAGTACTGCAGTGATACGAGTGACTGAAACTGTCATTTAAACACCAAAGTGTCTAAACACACGTCAGTCAGTGTTGGGAGGGTGACTTTTAAAATGTAATCCCCTACAGATTACAGATTACATATCCCAAAATGTAGTTTGTAATATAATCCATGAAATTACTTAAAGTGAGTAAAGTAATCTGAATACTTTGGATTACTTTGTTTGTTGTAGAGAAGCAAAGACGAGGAAATCGTAACATCAGATGTTTTTTATCTGCTAAAAGATAAAATAAAAAGTCCAGACTTTACTGAACCAAATTAAAAATATTATTGATAGAAGAAGAAGAAACACGTCCACACAGCAGGATTTAGTCCTGTTAAATCCTGTTTTAGTCCTGATTTAAACCTGGTTTAGATCTAGTTTAGATCTAGTTTAGACCTGGTTTTAGACCTGGTTTAGTCCTGGTTTAGATCTAGTTTAGACCTGGTTTAGACTGGTTCTAGTTTAGACCTGGTTTAGATCTAGTTTGACTAGTTTACCTGGTTTAATCTAGTTTAGACCTGGTTTAGATCTAGTTTAGAAGTTTAGACCTGGTTTAGATTGCGGCAATAAATGGAATTACCGAAAAAAAAAAGGGGATTTAGCCCAAAATATGAAAACAGTTAAATCCCTCTGTTTAATCCATTTATTTCAACAAAGTAACTGTAATCCAATTACCACTCACTGAAACAGTAACTGTAACTGAATACAGTTACTCATCATTTGTACTCTGATTACATAAGTCCAGTACATGTAATCTGTTACTCCCCCACACTGGTCACAGTGGGCGTAGACACAGAATCCTTGCTACTTTTTCCGCCACCAAGGAGTTGTGTTGTCCAAGGAAAAGGGGCGTGTCACTAGGCAACTTCCCTGGAAAACCTATTCAGAAAGATAATCGAACGCAGGGTGAAGTCGCATGTCAAAAGATCGGATATGTTTGGGTTTCAGGAGCACAGATCCAAGTGTCCTGGGTCACATTTGAAAAAATCAGATCTGTGTGGTTCAGACTGTCAATAAAAGATCAGATACAGGAACATAGAGACAAAAAATCAGACTTGGGTCACTTCAGGCTGCAGTCTGAACACAGACTTACATTCCTTATTCTTAAAATATTGTCAGGACACTGTTATCGAGATTGAGACCACACGATATGTCACATTTAAATCTAAATTGTAAACTAAACTGGCACAGTTTAGACTTCTACAAACATGTTCCGAAACACCTGGGATTCTTGTGTTAGTTTATCATTGCATACTTCAGCCTTTTCTTACATTTTAACACTTCTGGAGTTGTTTACCTTGTGCGTTCTGAACAGGATCTTTCTTCATAAACATGAATCCAAATCTAATCACAGTTCAATTTCCCCCCAAATCCTTCAGCCCTAATCGAGAAAATGAAAAGAAATAATCCGATGTTCTCTTCTGTCCGTCTCTTACCTGCAGCTGTTGCTCCAGGTCGATCTTGGCCTGCACGGCGAAGTTCTCCGTGCAGTCGTCCACGGCCGCCTTCATCCTGGTCTCCACCTCCTCCATGCGCTTCTGCCACTTCCGCACCATCTCCTCGCCCACCGTCTTCTCCGTGAGCGCCGCGTGGCCCATGACCGCGATGATGCCCACCACGAACAGCTTCTTGAGTCGGGCGCAGAAGTCCTCCACCGCACGCCTGTTTCGCTTCTCCGTGGTGACGACGGTCTCCAGCAGAGGGTCGCCCGCCATGTTCTCCCCCGTCACGGAATTGTACAGAGAGTCCAGGTTCAAGTCTGCGTCCGTGTTCTCGAAGTGGCTGATGAACTTCTGCATCTTCTTCTCCTTGAACTTGGGGCTGGCGTTGATAAAGTCCTGGAACTTCTCGTACTGGCTGAGCATCTGCGCCTCCCGGTCGAAGTTCTGCTTGTTCATGGAGGTCCTCTGCAGCTCCAGCGCGATCTGGTCGATCTCGTTTTGGATGCCCTCCAGTTTGCTGTTGACCTGCTCCAGCTGCTGGGCGAGGTAGCGGGCCTCTTGTCCGTCGGGGTTGCTGCAGATCTCGGCGGAGGCCATGAAGACGGCCTCGAGGATGGGGTGGAGCTGGCCCACGGTGGCGGCCAGCACCTCGGACGCCTGGCCCATGATCTCCACGCCCTTCTCGATCTTGTCCCGGTTGTGGACCAGCCAGTCGGCCACGTTGTTCATCATGTTGGAATCTGGGTCGGAGTCTCTACGACGACACAAGTGTCTCCTAAAACAGACAAGAACATGAAGAAACCATCATCAGGGTTTGTAACTTCGTAAAAGACAGCAGAAGGTTTAAGCGCCAAGAAAATAAAACTGGAGAAGGAAGTTCTTGTGTCAGTGGGAGTAGATCAGAGAATGAAGATTAACTCCAACATGAATCACTCCAAATACAACATCAGAGAAAGAAATAAGAAGGAAACAATTATAATCCAGTTAAAAGCTCCAGTGTGTTTGTTTTTGATTACAGAACAGAATCAGAACAGGGTTAAAAGCTTTTTTTTTCATTTCAATTTCATGTTTTTTTTTTTTCAATTATTTGTTTATTAATTTTCCAAGACAATAATTCCACTTACAGATCTGCAAATATTGTTTAAGGCTCAAACATTGTCTTAAACTTAATCTTCCAAATAAAATACAGATTTTTACTATTATATTGAAAACAGAAAACTCAATTTGGTAGCGAACAGAACATTGGGGAAATGAGCACTCGAATAAAATCCAAACGTATCATTTTGACAAATCTCAGCCAACCTTCCAAATCTATTCAAATTTAGGGTTAAAAACTTAAATAAATCAGGTCATAAAAGAAACATGAAGTTGCCTGGTTTAGTTCTGGACACATCTACAGCCTGTTCATCCTGGTTTAGTCCTGTTTCGTCCTGGTTCAGTCCTGGTTTAGTCCTTGTTTAGTCCTGGTTTAGTCCTGGTTTAGTCCTGGTTTAGTCCTGTTTAGTCCTGGTTCAGTCCTGGTTTAGTCCTTGTTTAGTCCTGGTTTAGTCCTTGTTTAGTCCTTGTTCAGTCCTGGTTCAGTCCTGGTTCAGTCCTGGTTTAGTCCTGGTTTAGTCCTGGTTCAGTCCTGGTTCAGTCCTGGTTTAGTCCTGGTTTAGTCCTGGTTTAGTCCTGGTTCAGTCCTGTTTAGTCCTGGTTTAGTCCTTGTTTCGTCCTGGTTCAGTCCTGGTTTAGTCCTGGTTCAGTCCTGTTTAGTCCTGGTTCAGTCCTTGTTTAGTCCTGGTTCAGTCCTGGTTTAGTTCTAGTTTCATGAAATTTCATAAACGACAGCAGGAGGTTTAAGGCCTATTCATCCTTCATAAGAACATAAAACCGTTGTTCTTGCACACAGGCCTGACCCAGGTCCTGCTGGGTTCTTGAGGTTTGTTCTCGACACCTCAGCTGAGCAGAACTGTGCTCGGCACTTCTGCAGCGCCGTCCCACATCTTCACTCTGATTGGTTATTTCTGTGTTCATGGTTTATCTGCTTCCTCACCGGTGCGGAGCAAGAAACAAAAAAGGACGGTTTTGAGTTTACAGCAGGAGAAAATACAAACATCTGTACGACTCGGAAGGTGATAAAGACGCCAAATGGAAGAAATTCATGGAGGGAGATCGTAGACGTTTTAGCCTCAGATGAAAATCAGTGTAGAAACGTCTGGAGTCTTTTCTGTGACAAGTTTATGAAAGACAAAAATTGGGTCAGTAAAAAAAGAGCGGTGAAGCTGGGGAAAATAATATATAAAAGAAATACCCTCGATATATACAGCGAGGGGGCGGGGCAGAGCGAGGGGGCGGGGCAAAGCAAGGGGAGGCAGAGCGAGGGGCAGAGCGGGGGGGCAGAGCGAGGCAGGGCAGAGCGAGGGGGGGCAGAGCGAGGCGGGGCAAAGCGAGGGGGAGGGGCAGAGCGAGGGGCGGGGCAGAGCGAGGGGGAGGGGCAGAGCGAGGGGCGGGGCAGAGCGAGGGGGAGGGGCAGAGCGAGGGGGAGGGCAGAGCGAGGGCGGGGCAAAGGAGGGGGGGCAGAGCGAGGGGCGGGGCAAAGCGAGGGGAGGGGCAAAGGGGCGGGGCGGGACAGTTCGGCGCTAGAACGTCTTTTGAAGTATGAAATGTCAGAGCCCAAACAAACTTTGTTCTTATTTGTATCAAGAACAATAACAATATTCTTATGTTCTTATTTTCTTATTACTTTTTTGTGCACATAAATCAGATCACAGAAGAAGAAAAAATATACATATATATAATATAATTAACAGTAATACAATGTGACCATCCTTCTTTGACTTCATGCTTGGTGTTTGTGCTCAGACACAGTCAACTGTGGGACCTTATATAAACAGGTGTGTGTCTTTCCAAATCAAGTCCAATCAACTGAATTTACTGCAGGTCGACTCCAGTTAAGCTGTAGAAACATCAAGGATGATCAGTGGAAAAAGGATGCACCTGAGGCTGTGAATACTTATGTAAATGTGATTTCTTAGTTCTCTATTTTTAACAAATTCAAAAAATGTGAAAAAAACTTTTTTCACACTGTCATAATGGGGTGTAGAATTTTGAGGTAAGAGATTCATTTAATACAATTTGGAATGAGGCTGTAACATGACAAAATGTGGAAAAAATGAAGCTCTGTGAAAACTTCCCAGGATGCAAAAATGAGTCTTGCTGCTGCTGTAATCTATAAATCTATAAATCTATAAATCTATAAATCTATAAATCGCCCTTTCATAGTTTGCAGTTTTAAGCTTCTATTCTAACCATTTACTGAAAGATGATCGATTGGTAGGTTTCCATTCCTGCGTTATCATCCGACATCCTGTTCCTATGTCCTTATGTTCTAATGAAGTGTGAACAGGCCTTAAGATCCATTCACACAGTTCCCAGGCTCAAAATGAAGAACGGTCAGTATTGATCTGCTCTAAAGTTGAGCTCCAAACAGCTGGTAACTTGGATATTTCTCACGTCTGACTCAGCTCGGGCTGGTGTTTCTGTTTCCCAAATCACTTACGAGTTAAATTGTGACACGACGCAGTAACGACCACAAACCCCAGAGGATCTGAGGTCAAACACCACAGAAACACAGAAACACAGAAACACTCAGGTTTAATCCAACAATCTTCTGCTCTTTGACTTTAGGACAGAGTTTACATTTCTTTAGACTTTAGTATTTGTCATATTTTTAAAGACTGAATCATTCTGAGCTCGTAAATCACAAATGTAATCTGATTACTTTGGATTACTTGATTTGTTGTAGAGAAACAAAGACGAGGAAAACGTAACATAAGAAGTTTTGTCTGATAAAAGAAAATAAAAAATCCAAACTTTACTGAACCAAATAAAAAATATTATTGATAGAAGAAGAAGAAACACGTCCACACAGCAGGATTTAGTCCTGGTTTAGACCTGGTTTAGTCCTGGTTTAGACCTGGTTTAGATCTAGTTTAGACCTGGTTTAGACCTGTCATAGACCTGGTTTAGTCCTGGTTTAGTCCTAGTTTAGTCCTGGTTTAGTCCTGGTTTAGTCCTAGTTTAGACCTAGTTTAGTCCTGGTTTAGTCCTGGTTTAGTCCTGGTTTAGATCTAGTTTAGACCTGGTTTAGTCCTGGTTTAGTCCTGGTTTAGTCCTAGTTTAGACCTGGTTTAGTCCTGGTTTAGATCTAGTTTAGACCTGGTTTAGTCCTGGTTTAGTCCTGGTTTAGTCCTAGTTTAGACCTGGTTTAGTCCTGGTTTAGTCCTAGTTTAGACCTGGTTTAGTCCTGGTTTAGATCTAGTTTAGACCTGGTTTAGTCCTGGTTTAGTCCTGGTTTAGTCCTAGTTTAGACCTGGTTTAGTCCTGGTTTAGATCTAGTTTAGACCTGGTTTAGTCCTGGTTTAGATCTAGTTTAGACCTGGTTTAGTCCTGGTTTTAGACCTGGTTTAGACTGGTTTAGACCTGGTTTAGTCCTGGTTTAGACCTGGTTTAGACCTGGTTTAGACCTGGTTTAGATCTAGTTTAGACCTGGTTTAGTCCTGGTTTAGACCTGGTTTAGACCTGGTTTAGTCCTGGTTTTAGATCTAGTTTAGACCTGGTTTAGTCCTGGTTTAGACCTGGTTTAGACCTGGTTTAGATCTAGTTTAGACCTGGTTTAGTCCTGGTTTAGACCTGGTTTAGACCTGGTTTAGTCCTGGTTTAGATCTAGTTTAGACCTGGTTTAGTCCTGGTTTAGACCTGGTTTAGACCTGGTTTAGATCTAGTTTAGACCTGGTTTAGTCCTGGTTTAGACCTGGTTTAGTCCTGGTTTAGTCTAGATCTAGTTTAGACCTGGTTTAGTCCTGGTTTAGATCTAGTTTAGACCTGGTTTAGTCCTGGTTTAGACCTGGTTTAGACCTGGTTTAGTCCTGGTTTAGATCTAGTTTAGACCTGGTTTAGACCTGGTTCAATCCTCGGCAATGAGTGGAATTACAAAAAAAAAAAAAAAAGTTTACATTTCTTTAGACTTTAGTGTTTGTTGTATTTTTAAAGACTGAATCGTTCTGAGCTCGAAAAATCACAACCACAAGTTTCCTGAAACAAATGATTTAAATGAAGTGGAAACAAACTGGTGAAGCTCGTAACAAACGAAACCCGCGGAGAAACTGGCTCCACTTCGGTCTAAACCCGCAGAGTCTCGGTCTTTTACCTGAGAAATTTACAGACTAAAAACACAGCGAAGTCTGGATCTGTTCACACACGAGACACTTCTGGAAACATGGAGGTCTGGTTTAGTCCTGTTTAAGTCCTGGTTTAGTACTGGTTTAGACCTGGTTTAGTCGTGGTTTAGACCTGGTTTAGATCTAGTTTAGACCTGGTTTAGTCCTGGTTTAGACCTGGTTTAGACCTGGTTTAGTCCTGTTTAGTTTAGACCTGGTTTAGTCCTGGTTAGTTTAGACCTGGTTTAGATCTAGTTTAGACCTGGTTTAGTCCTGGTTTAGACCTGGTTTAGACCTGGTTCAGTCCTGGTTTAGATCTAGTTTAGACCTGGTTTAGTCCTGGTTTAGACCTGGTTTTACTCCTGGTTTAGACCTGGTTTAGTCCTGGTTTAGATCTAGTTTAGACCTGGTTTAGTCCTGTTTAGACTGTTTAGTCTCTGGTTTAGACCTGGTTTAGACCTGGTTTAGTCCTGGTTTAGATCTAGTTTTAGACCTGGTTTTAGTTTTTAGACCTGGTTTAGACCTGGTTTTACCTGGTTTAGTCCTGGTTTAGACCTGGTTTAGTCCTGGTTTA